ATTAAAGGTAATTGTAATTGTTTAACAGTTGAACAAAAAAAATCAATTCTAGAATCATACATGGGGTGAACGAAATTGGGAGTCTTTCTAGGGTTTCCGGAAGCCTCCTGGTTGCATAAAAAGAAAAGGATTTGAATTGGGATTAAATATTATTTAATCAATTCAAATTTTGTTTTGCCTACAAGTTACCTAAACTATAAATAGGACCCCAAGACCATCAATTTTCGTTCATGACATTCCTAAGAGTATTAGGAACTAAATTTCCTTCTTCTTCTTTTCTCTCCTCTTCATTCTAGGGTTTCTAGGGTTTTGAGTGTGAGCCATCATAGGCACGTGATTTCTGGTGCTTGTTTTCTAGAGCTTGTTCAAGAAGAATTTTATTGATTATTTACAACAATAATCAAAATGTATGTAAACCCTAATCCCTTTGTGAATTTCGATTATAATAGGGTATTCCTAGGTTTCTTGATGTTCAATTGTTTGTTACAATCAATAGAGAAAACTTAGATCCAATAGGTTTCATGTGAACTTAGGGTTAAGTTTTTCCACTACATTATTTTTGTAACCTATAAAAACCATTAGTAGAGGCCTATACTACCAGAAGCACAGGACTCACACTTGGATCACGGAAAGTCAGAAGGTTACTAAGTCTCTAGATAGTTAAGCTATTTTGTTCATTTCCATCATTACCTTTGTTTCGGTAATGACTATAAAGATAAATATTATTCCAACCTTAGCTGTCATATCGAATCAATTCTGACTAATCTACTAAGTATGTTCGACGTAGCGTCCGACCTTAGATTATAGGAAAAGATAATCGAAGTGATCAGTAGATGCATCACGATCGCTATTAAGATTAAGCAGCTTGTAGCTAGAAGTGCTACATGCTATAATATGATTATATCACATTAGAACATGAAGGTATCTTTCGTGCTAAAGTCTGACTCAAAGAGACCTGAGTCTAACCGTTGCATCATATGATGAAAGGTCATTAGAACATGACCCATCGGTCTGTTACGGTAATCGAAGATAAGGACCTTGATCTAGGTTAAGTATGTTTTAGAAAGAGTAGGAGCCTCTAATGGAGATCAAATTTAGAAGGAATAGTAGATGCAGCACCATCGGCGGTTAAGAAGTCTAAGAGTTAGAAACTCAATAGAAAGGACATAAGAGTTACGGTTACCACCTAGGATGGAAACGTGCAGAGTCATTATAGAAGCCCTGTTTTTTTGATGATTTTGGGACGTAATCATCCTAAGGGGGATATAATTGTAACACATGCAGATTCAGGCTAATCAATTAAAACAAAATGAGCTATAAAAATGACATTTTTATAAAAGATTATTTAGGATAAATAATCATAACAGAGTTAAATTATATGTGACAAAGATTCCGTACATATAAAGAACGTTGAAATCCGACTTCGTATGAAGAAGTTATGATTCTTCGAAGTTTCGAGATTATATGTGACAAAGATTCCGTACATATAAAGAACGTTGAAATCCGACTTCGTATGAAGAAGTTATGATTCTTCGAAGTTTCGTGATTAAACCAACATGGCTCTACGTATCGCAAAAAGTGAATTTTTGATAAATTACTTTTTAGCCTAAGAGATCTAAACAAAAGTCATAGTAGTCGTTAAATTGAGAGCATGCATATAGAGAACGTCTAAATCTGACGTCGTAAGATGAAGTTATGGCTTTTCGAAGTTTCAGTGCAACAATGCGGGCACAAAAATTAAAATTCTAATCGGTTGATTGTTGGTCAAAAAAAATTAAACGAGAGTAGAAGATTTCGTCAATAGGAGTCTGTCGATATAAAATACATGGAGAACGGAATTTGTATATAGGAGTTATGCTTTGTGCAACGATCTCTAACAGTCTAAGTCTATCAAAAAATATATTTTTTATAGAGTGATAACTAGTTGTTGGGACCTAAATGAAAGTTATAGATATCATCGAGAGGTTTCCAGGGATATAAAGACGTAAAAAACAGAGATCATATGAAGAAGTTACGCCATTTTGAAAATCTAAAAAAATCGTGCGCGCGAAGTGTACGACGCGCGGCGATGACGTGGCATCACGAGAGGACGCCACGTGAAAAGTCGACCCTCCACTCCTCCAAAGGTTAAGTTGACATGACACCATGAAAATGCGACACATGGAGATGTTCTAGAAGCAATGACGCAAACGAGCAGCAAGGTGACACGTGGCAGGGCGGCAAAGGAGCCAACACACCACAAAAATGCGACACGTGGTGATGTTCTAACCTCCATTCTTTCTTGAGTTCAATTTTCTTGAATTTTGGGGTATTTAGTAAGGTTTTTAGGGGTTGAGGTGTCCGACAAATAGAAGCTTTCGATTTTAGAGTCTTGTCTAAGTGTTTTTCCGGGTTTTCGCTAAAACCTCTGTAAGTTAAGCTATACTCTTTTGCTTTCAGTGTAACTTATAATTATAGTCATAAGTTGTTATTATGAACCTATAAATAAGATTTATCAGTAATTCCAAGTCATTATATTCATTGATCTACTAACGGGAGATGTGTCTAGAATGGTCACGTTGTCTTGGTTGTTGGATTTTAGAAAAGTTATATGTTGAAATGATATTGCCTCCGAACTGTCCTTCCTAACTGATCCTTACTTGATAGATCTTGATGTAGACATTGGGATTAATGAAGAATCTATATTATAATTATTATAGTCACCATAATTACGAAACTAGACTAAGGCTTAGTACTTTAGGCGTCTAGGTCTTTTCAAAGTATGAAGCGAAGTGTTGCCGAAATCATCAGTCACCTTTTTTCATCAAGTGAGTGCATAATTACTTTCATCTTACACATAGATATGAAGTATATAAATAATTAAATGTTATATGCGCTTATATGAAAAGATGTTATGTGTTAGATGAAATATTATTTGATATATATACCGTATATATGTTTTATAAATTTAATACATTGGGTAATGAAGGGTAGTAATAGATATCATAGTATGATGAAAGATAAGATGTTATAGTATGAGGAAATATGTAGGCAATGATAGGATGTCATGACTTCAGAAATGGTACTAGCATGCCAATGATGTAGAAATGGTGTTAGTGTGCCAACGATGTAGGAATGGTACTAGCGTACCAACGATGTACTCACTTAGCAGAGTATAGGTGACGACCACTAGACTATTTGATGATAGTTCTGTGGAACACATGCAGGTTTATAACCTGTAGGTGATGGATTTTGTGACCATTTGATGTACTCTACCCTACTGACACGTACTACGGAGAAATTTCTGTAACAATACTGTCAGTAACGATGATTAAGATGATCATCAGGACAGATCCTTAGAAATGAGAGTAAAAGAAAACCTACTGATATGTATTACAGATAAATCCCTGTAACAGTACTATCAACAACGATGACTACATCGACCCTTAGGATAAACCCTTAGGGAAGAATAAATAAGAAAATGGGGATGAATAATCGGGTTAATTGTTTGATAATTAAACACATTAACTATATTATTATGGGTTGAAAATCATATGTACTCATCAAGTTTCCTAACCCAACCCACTCAGTTTCTTTGTATCACAGGAAGTAGTACAAAGATATTGATGTCCGGACTCGATGAGAGATTTGTGGAAATATAGGCTATAGAATAAAAAATATGTAAGGTCTACGTTTACGCTTATGTTTCTTGTATTAGTTATGACATCCCAAGATTTTTATAATCAATGAAAAACATTTCTTCAGAAATATTTTTACGGGACCAATTCCGCATTTATAAATGAATTCTGATTTAAATAAGCATAAATAAAATTTTTAAAATAGCCGTAAAAATGGGGATGTCACATTACAAAAAAAAAAAAAAAAAAGTGTTACAATTTACTCATGAATTATTTGAAATTGCTAACATTTTATCCTTATGAGCGATGACAACTTGGTTATAAGCTATGTGAACAATTTCAAATAATTCATAGGTAATCAACCATATTTTGTTAATTAGGTGTTCAAATTTGTTGCAAACCTTGGCCTAACATTCCTCTAACGCTAGAAGTGAAAGCTTATATTTTGTAGCATTTGATTTTTATAATAAGTACGTGTGAAAGCAACATGTTGCAAACCTTTGAGTAAAATTGACTTTATTATAGTGTTAGTGTGACCATTTTATCACTTTTTGTTTATATCTTTTAATTTCTATACAGACACTAATATAGCTAATATAACATTATACGTTACAAAATAACAATGTTAAATTAGAGTAGTGTATCTCTCATGTATGAAATATTAGAGTACTTAACATAACAATACCTATGAGGTGTATCGATCAAAATGATTAGGGATAATGATTTGAAAGGGTAACACAATTCAACTTTGTTCACATTTAATCGATGAACTTGTTTTTTGTGTTTGATTTACCATGAACTTTTTGAAAATTTTCGCATTTTACCCGTATGACCGGCTACAACCGCTCATGAAGGTAAAATGTGAACAGTTCTAGATAATTTATGGGTAAATCAAGCGCAAAAAAATTCATTGACTAAATATAGACAAATTAAAGTTGAAAGTTCGTTACCCTTTCAAGTCATTATCCTTTCTTTTTATTGTCACGATCAATATATTTCTTTTCTTTTGGTTGTAGAAAAATCATTATAAAATTTGAGACATTCATATTGCGGGTAAAATACTTATATTCATCGTTTACACCAACCATTGCATATGTTATGATCAAATTACCAAATATCCTATGTCCCCATTTATATTAAACCATTTCAACCATGTTTTGTTAAGTGAGTGTTCAAATTTGTTGCAAACATTCGCCTCAGATTCCTCAAAGGCTAGAAGTGAAAGCTTCTATTTTGTAGCATTTGATTTTTAACAAGTATGTGTGAGAGTGATATGTTATATGTTGCAAATCTTTGAGTAAAAATGATTTTATTATAATGTTGGTATGATCATCACTTCGTTTTTATATCTTTTTTATTTCTTTAAAGACATTATTATAGCTAATGTTGAATAAGAGTAGTGTATCTATGATGTATGAGATATTAGAATACTTAACATGATAATACATATAAGGTGTATTGATCAAAAATGATTATTTTGGATGTTCAAAAATTATAATAAATAAATTATATGTAGTAAATATAAATCCCTACAGACATGCAACAAATTTGAACACCCATAACAAAACAAGGTTGAAATTATTTAAAATAAATTGGGACATACGATTTTTGGTAATGACCTTTTAATTTTATTCACATTTAGTCATTTAACTTTTTTTTTTATTTACCTATGATTTATTTTAAATTGTTTATATTTTATCATTCTGATTGTTTATAACCGATTATAAAAGGTAAATGTGAACAATTTTAAATAATTTATGAATAAATTAAACAAAAAAATAATCTAGTGACTAGATATGAATAAAATTAAAAATTTCTTATTTTTCAAGTTATTATGTGATGTATATAAGATGACCTATGATGATAATAATTTTGATTGTAGCGTGATAAATATAGCCCGTTACCAAAACTAGACTTATGTAAAGAGTGGATATCTTTACCAATTAATCAATTATCTAATTTATCAATTTTAAAAACACAACAACGATAATAATGATTTTTATTGTCCATAGGTCATATTAAAAATAAGTAAAATCATATTATTGTTTATTGCAATTAAGAAAGGAGCCGAGTCAAGATGATTCGACTCGGATGTTTAAAAGATCCGCCGTTAATCATTTTAAAAAGGAAAAGAAACCCCCCTCTCTCTCACACACACAATAATGTCTATATATATATAGAGAGAAAAAGCTCAGAAATTATGTGAGAGAGAGAAGAGAGAGAAAGAAAGAGAAAGAGAAAGAGAGGTATGATGAACAGCGGGAGTTGCATTAGAATTGCGCTTTCGAAATCCTCATAGAGTGATATTGTTGAATCTGAAGCGTTTTTGGAGTATTTTTTTTATTGATTTAGATTTCTGGTGAAAATATCAGTAAAACTGTTATGGTTATGGAAAGTAACGAGAGCTGTAGTAGTAGAAGTGCGGAATCATCGCCGCCGCGCACGGTGGCGAACAGTGGTAACGGTAACCGGCAGCAGATGAAAAAGCTAGAGGTTTACAATGAGGTTCTTCACCGACTCAAAGAGTCTTGCAACGACGAAGCTAATGAACCTGGGTTTGATGATGAACTTTTGGCTCACTTTAATCGTTTACCCACCAGGTATGTATATTAAACCTTTACTCTTGTGGTACACAGTTAGATCATATAGTACAAATCAGGTACTTCTTCGATGTTTGACTGTGTGTTTGTGTGTGTAACTCGGCATGTAAAATGTAGATTTGATGTTTTTCAATCCGATTAGCTGAGTTAACTTCGAGATTTCGTCATTTCCCATGGTGATTACGCCGGATTACCTTCGTCAAGCGTTTTGATTTACTGGTTTTGGAGAAACCAATGGATTCACGTCTACATTAATTTTTCCATCCATTTCCATAAATATTTAATTACTGACTTTATATGTATGTAGTGATTTTCTGTTATCTCGATACAGTCGTCCTTTTAGCTTGAAGAATGAAGAGTAGTCAAAAACTAGATTAGACCAATATAATAAAGGATAGAGTTGCAACAGCAAAATATGTGGGCCAAATTTGAGTTTGAACTTATCAGCTTATAAAACAATTTTTTAATTTTGGCGTTTCTAATGGATTGTATTTTCTTTGTTTTTGTATACATCAACCGATCATCAAAAGCAATTTTTGCTCGTATTTTTTGGCTTCAAATTGTCAATGATTGTGGTGTCCTCTCTTCCTCCCCAGAGAACACAAGCTTTATTTAATTGACACGCACTTGACTCGATCAAGATTTCCTTGCACACAAACTACACAAGTTAATCTTGCACACAAACTACACAAGTTAATCTTTAATTTAGCTCTTGCGTAATGATGTATACCAATTTTACCTTTCTCTTTCTTCGTTCAAAGTTAGGGTTGAAATGTCTAATCAGTTTCTACCTAAATTCTCCCTACAATCTTTCTCAAACACACACACACACACTCGAACTGGATAATGCAATGATAGTGGATGAATTTTATATGCTGCATTTGTATTGAAATTGAAGGTATGCACTTGATGTAAACGTGGAAAGGGCTGAAGATGTACTCATGCACAAACGCCTACTGCAACTAGCACATGATCCTGCTAATAGGCCTGCTTTTGAGGTTCGGCTAGTTCAGGTTAGCTAATGCACCATTTCACCTACATTTTCAACAATTTTTATATGACCATTTATTAATATCTTTATTTTATTTTATATATCATGTCCATTTCCTACTGGTTAAGCTATTTGGTTAGAAGGTCTAAATGTTGTTGTTTATTTACAGGTTTCTCCAACAACTGATGGAAGCTCTGATGAATTAGTTTATTCCAGCTCTCCTAAACACCAACCACCCCAAAGGTAAAAATTTAGTTTTTGCTTCATTCAGCCCATTTGATTGGCCGATTAAGTCATTACAAATTAGTTATCTTTTTTTATTTTTTTTATTTTTTTCTGCACCCTTTTGTGTTGGTAAATGATAATTAATTTTATAACAGCATTCATCCACCACCTGCCTTTGGGTCATCACCTAATCTTGAAGCCCTTGCACTTGAAGCAAGTGAGTCTCAGATTCGGAATGGGGATAGTGCTGTAAATAGCTATCAAATTCTTCCCAGGTATGAAAACATTTACTTTTTTTTTTTTTTTGCTTTGACTTTCGATATTAAAATTAAACCATGGTAATAGTCTAATACATGCATTAGCAGAAGCATGGACTAGATCTTATCTCGTGACACTATTTTATGTTAATTCTTATACAGGCCTATGCATGAAATTACCTTTTCAATGGAGGACAAACCAAAGCTTCTGAGTCAGGTTCTTATTTATTCTCTTATCAGTAGGATATATAGATATTGAAATAAATAAAAAAAAAATAATTTGATGGGTCCTATATTTTAATTATAAAGTTTTAAAATTTACAGTTGACAGCTTTACTTGCGGAAGTAGGATTAAACATCCAAGAAGCACATGCTTTTTCCACAGTAGATCGTTACTCATTAGATGTCTTTGTTGTTGATGGTTGGCCTTATGAGGTATTTTCACTTCTACCCCTTCACTTTTTTGTATAAAGTCAAAAGTTTCTCATTGACTTTCTCTATTAATTCCTTCTTTCTGTATTAAGTAAAAAAAGAAACACCCATTAACTTTTGTTGTACATATTTCTAGGAAACCGAGCAACTCCGAACTGCATTAGAAAGAGAACTTTTTAAGCTTGAGGTATGCACTTTCAATATATGAGACTAATATAAACTATGTAATTTTTAATGACAAATCTTTTTGTAAAATATTTCATGATAAAAATAATTTTTTTTGATACAAATTCAATTGTATTTAATGCAGAAACGGTGTTGGCCAAACCAAAATTCATTGTCAGCTTCAAGTGAGCTGGATCAAACAGTAATGCCAAGTCAACTTAATTTGACAATACCTAATGATGGAACTGATGTTTGGGAAATTGATTCTCGATTTTTAATACTTGATCACAAAGTTGCATCTGGATCATATGGAGATTTGTAAGTACATGAAGGAAATAGCAATGTACTTTCATTATTTGTCTATTATAATATCATCATACTTTTATTTTATTTCTATTACAACATTGTCATTCTATTAACATACAATGTTGTAATAGGAAGAAATGAAAGTAAGATGGTATAAAATAAACAAACTAATGGAAGCATGTTACTATTTTTTGTGCATTTAACTCTTACTAAAAGTATTTTGGTGGATTTTTCATTTGTGTCACATATGGATTTGAAGTTAATTTTTTGATTTAGGTATAAAGGTACATATCGTAGTCAAGAGGTGGCAATCAAGATACTTAAAACTGAACGTGTAAACTCAGATTTGCAGAAAGAATTTGCCCAAGAAGTTTACATCTTAAGGTAAAAAGTCAATTTCTTTCCTCATTTTTTAAAAGACCAAAATACCCCTTTATTGTAAGTGATTCTGATTCCCCTTTGTTATGTACAGGAAAGTCCGACATAAGAATGTTGTTCAGTTCATAGGAGCATGTACTAAGCCTCCAAGCTTGTGCATTGTAACTGGTAATAATACCATATTCTCTCTCTATCAAAACTATAGCATCCTACTTTCATTTCTTCATATTACAACATTATAGTTTGAAAAATCTACACAATTAAACATTTTTACTACTATAATTGGGTAGATTTTTTGAAGTACAATACATTAATAAGATTTTTTTTAAGTAGTATGTTGTAATAGAAAGAAAGATGAAATTAGGATGCTATAATACACAAGTAAATAAAAGCACATTGTTATTTCTTGCATTTAACCCTTTGAGAAATAGTGAAACAAACTCATATGGTTCCTATTTCTTAGTTTAATAAATTTGAACTGATGTCATTTCCCTTTACTTTTGTGGAATTAGAATTCATGAGTGGAGGAAGTGTGTATGATTATTTACACAAGCAGAAGGGTACTTTTAAGCTTCCAACATTAATCAAGATTTCAATTGATATATCAAAGGGTATGAATTATCTACACCAAAATAACATCATACACAGAGACCTCAAGGCTGCAAATCTTCTCATGGATGAACATGAAGTAACTTTCTCTTTCTTTCTTTCTTTCTTTCTTTCTTTCTTTCTGGATAAATGATATTTATAAAGCATGTGAGAAAATCACAACAAACTTGTAAAAAAAGTCAAAACACTCATATGTATAGACTTTGTTTTTAGGTTGTTAAGGTCGCTGATTTTGGTGTTGCAAGAGTGAAGACTCAGACAGGTGTCATGACAGCAGAAACTGGGACATACCGATGGATGGCTCCTGAGGTAATTTTTTTTTTTTTTTTTTCCATTAAGTTTTGTACAGATAAATGGGGACATGAATTAATTTGGTATGATAATGACAAATTTCTTTTTATTTTGAAGGTTATTGAGCACAAGCCTTATGATCACAAGGCGGATGTTTTCAGTTTTGGGGTTGTATTATGGGAATTACTAACAGGAAAGGTATATCTCTTCAGGAAAAAAGTCATCGATTTGGTTACATAAAATCATAGCCACTTAACTATTGTTGGTTGTGATTAAACAATTATACTTTTTCCGACCTTTAATATTTTACGTTGAATGTCATCTTTTTTTTTTGTTCAGCTTCCATACGAGTACTTAACCCCACTACAAGCAGCTGTCGGTGTTGTTCAAAAGGTAATTAATATCTGTTGTGGAATCAAATAAATTATTATTTTGTTGGAATGATAACTGAAAAATCGATGCATATTTTAGGGTTAAATGAAAAATTGAGTTTTGGGAATTTTCAGGGATTACGTCCGACTATTCCAAAAAACACACTGCCGAAACTTACTGAGCTGCTTGAGAGATGCTGGCAGCAAGACCCAACTTTGAGACCTGATTTCACAGAAATCATCGATATTCTAAACCAAATAGCTAAGGAGGTATACTACATTCATAAAATTTAACAATAAATTTAATTTGGAGGATATTATATATATGCGTGTCTATCCATATTATAAATCATTTGTACAACCAAGTATAACTTTTGATAAAGTAAAAGATCATATATATATATATATATATATATATATATATATATATATATATATACACACAACTTAGTATAAATTCTAATAATATAAAGAAGATCATTCTAATTTCTAATAAGCTTGCTTATATAAATTTGCATCTTCCAAACTCATACTTTCTTCTTCCTTGTTCAAAATTAATACATGCACTCCCGAATTATATACATCTGTACATTAACCATTTATATATCATAAGAACCAATTAATAACCATAAATGTAAAAAAAAAACTCTTGATTTGTAGTGCTAACTAGTTTAAATTTGAAATCGAAAGTACACATAGGTTATAAAACTCTTAATTTGTAGCGACTAGTTAGCTTAAAGTCGAAGAGTTTTAGGTAAAAAGACTTTTGAGTGTTAGTATTTAAAAGATAGGTTAAAGAGTCGTGACGTTATAATTAGGTAATTTTTCAATTTACAATGTCTTAATAATTTACAATGTCTTAATAAGAAAAAGAAATTGAAAGTAAAATGTTGTAGTAGAAAGAAACGAAAATAGGATGTTATAATGAACAAATAAATAAAAGTAAGTTACTATTTCTTTTATTTAGGCCAATCTTAAAAGATATTATTTTGGTGTATTTAGGTCGGAGAAGAGGTAGATGATCGGCGCAAGGACAAAGGATTCCTATCGGTTCTTAGACGTGGCAATCAATGAAAACCATATTTATAACATTCTTTCACACGATGTTTTTAACTGGAATCACCTTACGATAGTGTCTTGTACATTGTGCATTAAAAGTTGTACCTTATTCCAAAAGTCATTTAAAAAAGGCTTTCTCTTGGAAAAAAATGTTTATTCATTTTATAGAAGAATACTTGAAGGATGAGATGTGTAAAATTACGTTGAGTGGATTTTATCGGCTTGTTTATATGAGCTCGACTTATTTAAATTGATGGGTTACCAAAGCTTTATAGTTTTAATTCTTAAGTGAGAAATGATGTAAAAAAAATATTTAGAAAAAAATCTGAGACTTAACGAGACACGTTGAACAGGGTAGGAAAATTTCATATATGTCCTTGCAAACATTAAATATTACGTCTATATCCTTTCAAAGTTTATAATTACGCATATATCCTTCTTAACCTATTAAACTCACATTTTATATCCTCTTTTATAATTTATTAAGATATAAATCAATTTAATACTAAAAAATATATTTTAAATCAAAAATACATATAAATTTACCAAAATACCCTTTTTAAAATTATATGCCTAATTAAATTTTATTACTTTTTGCTAGAAATTGTTAACCAGGGCAAAATTAAGTCTCTGAATCGAACCAAAATACACTATATGCTTACTTGCCTTAAATCAGTACATTAGCCTCATACATGCGATCTCATTACTGAGAATGAATAGTATCATTACTGAGAATGAATAGTATGAGTTATATATGAGATTTTAGTATGTCAAAAAATATATGTGACCAATTTAATTATAAAAGTATATTAAAGTTTCCAACTTGTCGATTATTTTTGTATGTATCATGAAGCTATTGAAGCAGGTGTATAAATTCATGTGCATCAGGAAGATAGTATTATTTGTGAGGTTTCAATTGTTTAACGAGGCTTAAATTGTATATTGTAACTATCGATTATTTGGATTTTATGTGTTTGAGATCTTGGAGGTTTTTGTTAATCACGTTTTTGAGGTTTTCCCATATTTAATTAGGTTTAATTCTAATTAAATTTATTTAGTTCTATTCTTTAATGATTTGGAAAGGTTATTTTAGTACAATCACATTTTATTTTGATTTTTAAATATATTTTATAGTATTAAATTGATATATACCTCATTAAATGATAAGATTGGATATAAATGTGAGTTTAATAGATTAAGAAGGATATATATGTAATTATGAATTTTGAAAGGATATAGACGTAATATTTAATGTTTGCAAGGACATATATGAAATTTTCCCTTAAATGTATTTAGGCATCTACGACCTCATTTATAGATTTTTTTTTGTTAAGTAACATATTATTATATATATATTAAAGTTGTGTTAAAAGATGAATAGTGAACTTGTGTGTTTTTGGCAGAAATGGTCCCTTGATTATAGAATTTTGGTATAGGGGTGTTTTATAGAAAATATTCTATTCTCTGTCCACGTGTTGGTCATCGTGCCCGGCCTCTCAGTATTTGATGTTTATCTGTTTTTGTTCTGTTTGCTTCACGATCCTTCCACCACCTCCCAAATCGAGTCTCCTCTCTTCTTCTACCCTTTGCTCCCTCCACCGCCAACCACTTCCTGATCCTTTTTATTCGGGAACAGTTCATCGCCATCGCCATCCAATCCGGTCCAGCAGGGTTACCGCCTCGGTTTGATCGTGTTGCCGTTTCCACCAACTTCGATTACCCTTTTGTCTTCGGTCTTCATCTCAATTGCAACCGTAAACAACGGTTTCGCTTACGGCTTAGGCTCCATCTCTCCAAACATAGGTCCCAACTCCAGGTTCGATCTTTGATGTCTTTTACCGGTTCGGTAGATGATGAGGCCCGACCGCATTTCGAGGATGAATAGAGTGACAGAAAAACCTAATTTCGGAACAGATTGCATACAATTCTAAGTTCTAACCCTTGATTTTCGTTTTGTGATTTGTTTCAGAAACTTGCGATACATGGAGCTTCGGGGGTTTATATCTCCTAGCATTGGTAAACTCACTAGACTACAGACACCGTAAGTGTATTTTTGGAGCTGTAATCTTAACTTATTTAAGTTAATTTGTGTTTGATTTATGCATTTTTTTGTTATTATCAGGGCACTTCACCAAAACAACTTACATGGTCAAATTCCAAATGAAAATAGTAAATGTCTTCAACTAAGAGCTATGTAAGTGTTAAACTATGAAATAAATGCATTTCTTGATTTTTGACTATGATTTAGAAATGTGAACTGATTAATGGCATACATTGTTGAGGTTCGATCAGGTTTTAATGTTATCGTTTCCAGTACCTTCACTTTTGTTTTCAATTTAAGTTACAATTATGGCCCCTAAGATTATGTCTTTCAATCTCTTTACACCTTCCTTTTTATGTTTGAATTAAGTAGTATTTACTCATATTAGTTGTCTCTTTACCTTTTCTTTGTTTCTGTTTAAGATGGAATTTTGTTGCTGGAGGTAAACACAGGATGCTAAGGGCAGGAGGATACTTTGTCTGAGCAGCAGAACCTGTTTATAAACATGAAGATAAACTTGAAGAACAATGGTATGGAATCATCTGTTGTAATCATAGACGATTCCATAATAGTATGACCTCATAACAAGCTTAAGTTAATAGTTGTAGAAAGGTATAATACCATACAATACAAGACAGACCAGACCCTTCAATTCAAAATTTATATCCGTTTATTGTTTGCATTGCTGATACATATATTTTCCATGTAGTAGGCGACAGTTTGGGCTTCCGGGGCCTTCCCTTCTTCAGATTGATCATGATGACAGACCAGATGAAAGGACTTTGGCATCTTTTGGTCCATTTGGTGTGGTTTGGTGTTGTTGCATCGTATCATATTCATATGTTACTAATTATTGATTGAAATGCATGATGTAGGTTATTGAGAAAATACATGAGAATTTTTTCATGCAAGAATGTTTAGATGATGTTGATGTACAAAATATATTAGCATCGGAACAGAGGAAGATATTAGGTGGGTGTCTCACCAACCGGTACCTGCTTCTTCCATATTCACACCGTCTCCACCACTTATGGCTATCAAATCCACAAAAGTTTTTCATCTGTTGAGATTTGAAGCCTCTCATAACCATTGTCATGAAGTACTTTACGTAGGTTTGACCTTTTCCGCCATTCCTATTTATAATAAATTTACATTTCCATTTACAATTTTTTATAAACCAAAAGACATTTGGCCTAATGATATGGTGAGATGGTTGTTGTGTGTGTTTGTATGTGTATGAGTGGCTGGTATGTCTGTGTTTATCTATGTTCAGTGGCTGTTGTGTGTCTTAAGTTGCAACCAAGTAAGGATTTTTTTTTTATATTTTTTTATTTTTTTATGTAGGTGGCAGATTGTGTTCTAGCGACTACAACCATTGGTAGGGAAGTAAAGTGGTTTCGCACAGTGGAAATCAGAGCGCCTCCAATCAAACCGGGTATGCCTTTCTACTTAATGAGTTCTTTTTTTTTGGTGATTTACACTACATTGCTATGAACTATGAGGAAAATGACTGAAAATGGATATTAATTGGCAGAATTTGCATAATCATAATGCAAGAAAAAATCCTTTGAAAGCAGAAAAACTGGTCGGTTCTTGCTGTGCACAAATAACCGTTGGTTTAGATTCAAACTAGAGATTTCAATTCATATGGCGGTCAATCCATAATACATTTTACAGTTGCAGTCAACCCAATTCTTTAAGATTGCAGGGATATGTCAGAACTCATGTCTAATAAATCAATATATGTTTGCCAAAATGCCCCACTCACGTGTCAAATATGGTTTGCTTGCAAAGGGCAAGTCATTTATACAAAGTGTTGTTGTTAATTTATTGATAAAGACAAATAGCCCTAGATTGACCAATGTGGTGTTGCAGGGAGCAATCTGCTGCTGTTAGGTGGGATGTAAGAAGTATGAAGGCATTATCGGAGACAATGCTGACACTTTCTCATCCAATTGATGCTAATGTGGAAGCAAAATCCATTCGGTGTTTGGAGAATCCACTAAAAACTGTCTGTAGCCCTTCAACTTCAAATCATTTGATGATTGATGATACAAAAGATCAATTGGTTTAATCAGTTTCTCTTATATGTTTTTGGAATAATGCCACAAATTTTGTTTATTTCATTTTGGAAAAAATATAATATTAACTTTTTTCCAGGAAAAACCAAAATATTTATTTATTTTAACCAAAGTACTTCCAATAATGAATGTTTTTAACCAAAGTACTTCCAAAATATTTATTTATTTATTTTATAGAAAATTTTAATTTATTTTTTTCGTTACATGGTTATTTACTTATCAACTGTCTCTTATATACCATTTCTAATTTCCTTTTCATTTATTTTTATTTGAATAAAACTTAAGGGAAAAAAAATTACCACACCCCATGGCCCCATCTCCATCCAATAAAGACAACCAATCAATTAATCTTTTATTTTCTCTAATTTCCTTTAACATTTTCCTGACTTATGATGATTATGTTACTGTAATTGTTGATCAAGACAACATCAATGGTTTAATTGACTTCATTTTTCAGCCAATAATCTCGAAAGAAAGAAGAAACATTACTCTCGGTTGCATTCCAGCCTTGTGATTCATCCAAATGGCTGTGAAAGTGAAGATCAATGGATTCTTGCAGAAGGTCGACTAGAGGAATTCATACATGCTAAGGTATAAACAAAGTTTTAGGGCTATTTTTTTGGGCATTTTCGTCTTTTCACATCGAAAAAAATTCTTCATGGTTTCAGACACTATCAGCTTCTGATCTTCGTGATCCCGAGATTTCAAGTCTTATTGCCGTCAAAATGAAGGAATAACATAGCTAGCTGTGTCCAGGGGTAATAACTACTTCAGACATTGTTGTGAACTACTTAATCAGCTCAATGAATCAATGTTGCAGTAGCGATATGAAAGTCTACCGACCTGATAGTCGCGACGCCTTCAACAGTTATCAGCACTAAAAGTGTATTGGTGTTGCGAAGCAAAGAAGGGACGATTTTTTGGTACATAAAAATCTCATTTTTTCAGTTTAAATTTGATACGAGCACCCATTTTGCAATTTAATTGGTATATAGAATTGAATTATATGCACTTTATTTTGATTATTTAAGAGGAGAAATGGAAATGGAAAATACACATTAATTTGTTGTCATAAATTGTTGGATTCTTTGTAGGGGTTTGATTGAAGTAGGACAACGTTTTGTGGCGGAATCATGGCTAAATGCCATTTTTTTTTTTGCATTTTTGTAGCATAACTGGTCTAATGGTGTGATTCCATAAATCATATTTTCCTCTTGTAACAGTTTTTTTAAGGCTCTTTTACCATAATGTTTATATATATATTTTTTTTTCACCACATACCATCATCATATGTTTCTGTTAAAGAGTTTTGTAACAAAAACTTAAACATAACAACCAACGACACACTACCTATCGCTACACCACATACATAACAGTTAAAAAAAAAGACTAAAACTATAGTCTTAACCGAACCCCGCAGAATAGGGTTTCACACCTAGTTTCTATTAACTTTATGAAACAAAAACATATTAACTTAAATATTTCCTAATCATTGAGCGCTTTTAAACGTTTTTTCTTTTTAAAGTTAACTAATTTACACCCACTGTTGTGAAAATGTTTTTATAAAGCTCCATCTTTTAGTTTGTTTTTCAAACACATATAATATTTATATGCATACTAATACCTAACAATAACATTAAAAAAATCAATATATTATGATATACAAAATTAAAATTAGTCATAAATTTAGAGTTTATATTGCATTTTTATGATGTTGCACAATATTTAATTGTGCATTTTGAAGATTAAAATCATATGACTATTACTAATTTAATATTTAATATTTACTGCCAGAGATTAAAATGAAACAAATTGGTTGGTTAAAAATAATAAAGCTTTTAATGTTAAAAATAATTAAAAGAGTATAACAGAACATTATTGAATAAGGGAGTTAATTGTGCAAAACACAAAACAAAAAAAAATAATAAAAATAAAAAATAATAATTAGTAGCAAAAGGTTGGAATAAGGGAGTTAATTGTGCAAAACACAAAACAAAAAAAAATAATAAAAATAAAAAATAATAATTAGTAGCAAAAGGTTGGTATATTTGAGGTTGATTCTAAATAATCGATCTCAAGGTACAATTTAAGACAAAGATTAGTCACATTGGTTAATAATAATATACATTGTATGAATTACTTGCATGCATGCATGCATACCATACTTTGAGTGTTATATTTTACAAGCATTTTAAGTAACATTTTGGTGTTATAATGAGCTATTATAGGTCATTAGTTTGCAATCATTTGGAAAACCATAACTATGATATCACATCCCATCGCTTTCCCAGTTTAAGAAAAAAAAAGTGATTCTTCTATATGAATTATGCAATCATGTTTAATTTAAAGGCTAAAATAAACGGCAAATGGTTGCTCATATGGTATAAGGAGCCACTACATTGTATAAATTGATAACAAGAAAAAGTGAAGTGTTGTATGATTGACCTATGTTTATGTTATCCTATATTATTAAAACTTATAACGATCGCTATTTGTAAAACTACAAAAAACTTTAAACTTCAAGATATGGAAGGTTTTGTGCAAACTATGAAAAATACAACTTCTTGAAAGTCTTCTTCCCCACTGGTCCATTCTTCTCATTTCTTGTAACTATGATAAAAATGCAACATAAAGGAAAAAATGATGATATGATATTGTGAAAGGAATGTTGTGATTCAGACATCATGGACTTTAAGAAATCCATGTAGAAGATTATGAGGTTTTCCATAATGGGGTCTGATTGCAACTTCATTATCAAAGATTGTGATTACCAATAAACTTAAATCCATGAACACTCTTGAAGCTTAAGTGAAGAAAACCAAGGTTCAAGCTAGGATTTGATGATTATGTTGATATGTAGTTGGGTTTTATTTTATTTATCATTTTCCCTATAAATGACCTATAATGTCTAGTAACATGTCACTATGGTACTGAGTTGTTAAAGAAGATGCTTCAAATTAGGAATTGTAATATCTTTTGGTTGTTAAAATGACTATGTTTTGGTGGTTTCAAGAATAAGTTATGGTATGAATACCAGTTGATTGATGTTATGAAATGGTTCATATGCAATTTATCATGTATGTCATTGTGAAGTAGTAATTTACCGTTGCTTGAAGTTTCTATAAATGGAAAAATTGCCAATTGATATGGTTATAAAAATGACACAAAGCCCAAGTAATATGGTTATAAAATTAGTTTATCTAAGTGGCATAGTTTAACATAAATAATCACATGGTTTCTATCATTAACATAAACAAATATACCATAACCAAAACATATTGACATTGATTTGGTCATAACATGTGTTACAAGTTTATCATAACCAAATTGATATTAATATGGTTATAACTTGATTTGGTATTCCATGAACAAGTATAAGCATAACATAAACAAGTCTAAACATGTACTTCTACTTATCAACAAATTTCCAATTGCATTTACCATAACATGATGTACTGTTTACCAACTAGTAGTATTATAAACTACTAAGCATACCACGATTTCTTTGTATCAAGCCCAAAGAGACCAAAATACATGGAAATATTGTAACATTGAACCCTCATCCTTTTTTCCATTCCCTTGTTGACTTTTATACCCTTCTTTACTTGCTTTGCCTTTGAACCACCATTACTACTATCCATTGTACCTCCTTGGCCTCTATGTTGGGGATTGTTGGTCAAAACTGTTTACTAATAAAAACACAATGGAAGAAAAAACAATATTTTAAATTTTTAATCCCCAAATAACCATGGATCCAATTAAAAACCATAAGATGTTTATAATACTACTTCAATGATGATGTAGTTCTTTGATGTTGGAGACTAGTTGCCAAATTCGATAACTTCTACATTAGATCCATACAAAACACGAACGAACAACTGCTAGACTAGCAACAACATAAGAGAGAGAGAGAGAGAGAGAGAGAGAGAGAGAGAGAGAGAGAGAGAGAGAGAGAGATTTGTGTTTTTCTTGTTCTTTAAAAGAAAACAAAAAAACATCGTGAGAAAACTCTATCGGGGGCTGAATATGAGCCCTATAAATGTGTTCTACCAAATCAGCACGAAGGGCGTGATGAATGTCGCGATTGTGTACTTCTCTTCTATTCGCCCTATACTCTTGTGTACCAACGACTACTCCTTCGACATTTGGCAAAACTTCATTTTTGTTGTACCGACATATCGTTCTTCCTTCGTCTTCAAGAATCATATTATGCAATATGATACATGCATACATTACGTGCTGTAACCTTTTCACTGCATATGACATTGCCCCAATTGCTAGTACTTGCCAACGTCTCTTAAGTACACCAAATGTTCGCTCCACATCCTTCCTAGATGACTCTTGCGCCTCTTTAAACTTTTTCCTTTTCGGGTCGTTAGGACGTGTAAACGATTTCACAAAAACAGACAATGGAGGATATATACCGTCAGTAAGATAGTATCCACGCTTATATGCTACCCCATTTGCTTGAAAAGGTATATCGTGCGACTTTCCAATGTAGATATCGTTGATTACCGGCGACTGGTCTAGCACATTGATGTCATTGTTTGCACCAGCTGGTACAAAGAATGCATGTCATATCCAAAAATCATATGATGCGATAGCCTCTAGAACGATCGTGGGCTCTTTGTGGTCGCCTCTCATGTACTGACCACGCCATGCGTTGGGGCATAATGACCAACCCCAATGCATGCAATCGATACTACAAAGCATTCCAGGGAATCCATGCTTGCCTTCATGCACCGTGTACAATTGGTGGATATCGTTGATAGTTGGTTTGCGCAAATATCGTTGCCCGTAAACCAAACAGATCGCTTTGCAGAACTTGTACACACTCCCACACGGTACACTCTGACATCCTAAAATACTCGCTTCATTTGTCTGCGCCCATGCCATATGCTAACTGACGAATTGTAGCGTGCATTTTTGAATGGGAGAGAAACTTTTATCCGCCTCGCATCCATTTTCCATTTGAAATATGGAAAACGGCCTTTCAAATCGCCAACAATACGTAAGAATAGTTCCTTCCTCATCCAAAACCGACGTCAAAACTTTACAGCGTAGATGTCGTCATCTGCAAAGTAATCTTCTATTAGACGATCATGTCCGGCTTCGTGATTTATACGCAACCGCGGCTTTCTTGGTTTAGATCGTGCACGTGATATTTCGCCTAGTCGGTTTTGATAGTATGCAACCATTTTCGTCATGACGAAACCAATAAACTTAGCCTCCTCTAGAGCCGTCGAATCGGATGACGAAGATGATAATATTTGATTAATATTTTTTGGAGAGAATTATAAGGTATGGATTAAAAAAAATGGTTGGATGTTGTGGTATTTATAGTTTATATATATATATATATATATATATATATATATATATATATATATATATTAACGGCTATATAGCTGTTTGAAGCAAAAAAAGAAAAAAAATAATAATGGACGAATAGCATGAAGAGTGAGAACGCGGCATCCCCACCCCCCACCCCCTTTCCCGTGCTTCGCTTCCCGCACCGACGGTGCGGTGTTCCCGCATGCCGGACGCTTCCCCCACCCCTCCCCGCATACCATTCCGTCCGGCCTAACAAAACACCAAACTGAGGACCATTTAGTGATATTAAATGGTCTTTGGTCTAGCGATATCAAAATATATTAGTCAGATGTTCCTCCCTAAATGGTTATGATTCAAGTCTTGTTGTAAACAAAATATGTAGAATTAAAAATATGATTACATG